GGGGGGCAGAGGCGAAGGTGATCTGTTTCCCCCCTATTTTTCATGCGTTCCTTCTGTCAGGAGAGTGGCATGATGCATTTAGTTGTGGAAGTGGACACACAAGTCGAAATGGTACGCTGTAATGGTAAGTAGCGATTTTGTTTTGAGGTGTTGTACTCTTTTATGTCATTTTATGTTGTTCGATGGGTGTTATGTTGGTGGGGGTGGAACTCGCAAATAAATGCTGCTGTGTTCTGCCATGGCTTGTTGTTTATGCCTCCCTCTCTGTCCCCGCTCACCCTCTGTATGTATGTGACTTTCTCTCTCACTCCCTATCTAACTCTGTTGCACCCAACCTCTTTCTCTCTCTCCCCCCTCTCTTTTGCTCCCTCTTTCTTTCTCTCTGCTTGTACATTTCTTTAGGAACCTGCCTCGACAGCACATCGTCATCGTTTTGGAGCCGCTCTGGCCTCGATAGAGGATTTTGCAGCAAAGGTGAAATTATCAAAGTCGTCATCAAAGCGTTCGGCAAGTCCTCTACGGCCACCGAAGGACAACTCAAGCAGCATCTCTTTCTCCTCTCCTCCTCCTTTGCATGCTGAAGCTGCAAGTGCACCTGCAGCAGCTGCTGCTGCTGCCGCAGCAGCAGGGTCCATGTGTGACGGGATTCACGTGGTGCAAGGAGGTGACTGGCTCTACAGCATCTGCCGACTTCACAATGTTGATCTTAAGTACGGACACTTTCTACAGTGGCGACCCACTCCAGTCAATCTCATCTTATCCTCACTTCCTTTCTGCTGCGTCTTTCCGCTTCCATCCCTGCTCGAAAAAGTATCTTCCTCTCTTCCACCTCCGCATCGACCTCTCTGTTTTCTTGGCAGTTTTCCCTGCTGGTTTTCGACACCTAGGAAAAGGAAAGCAGTCGAGTTTTCCTGGTGGTTTTTGACACCTAGAAAAAGGGAAGCAGTTGATGCGTATGCCTACCAAGGAAAGGAGAGCAGTCTTCATCCCTGCATTATTTCCGTGCCTGAAAATCTCCTCCTCTTCTCCTGCAGGTTTTTAACACCTAGACACCTCCGATGTTCCGCATCATCCTCTACCACTATGTTTTCTTGGCAGTTTCGCCTGCAGGTTCTTAACACCTAGACAAGGAAAGCAGTCAAACACATGCCTACCTAGAAAAGGGAAGCAGTCCACTATGGTTCTGCCTACCTAGAAAAGGAAAGCAGTGTTCGATCCGTATATGCGTATATTTCAACTCCTCTGTCTGCATGCGAGTGGTAAGGGAAAGCATACTCGGTTCTCTCTTTTTTTCTTTTTTTGTTTTTAACCACCAGTGGAGGCTCGTTTTGCTGAGGTGGATTCACTCTGTGCTCCCAAAAAAAACGAAGTGCTACTGGTGCATTTTTGTTTATTTGGCCTGGTGCTGCAGCCGTTTTGGTCGTTAGCACTGTTCATCAGAAGAACCCAGAATGTCGCTGTTTCAATTCTGAAGTTTGCCTGGGTGAGGTACTGGTGGTTTGACAATATAGTTATTAAAGGATGGAAACGGGGTCCAGTGTCCCTTACAAGCTTTAACTGGCATCACGCTTCCCTCCGTTATGGCCGAGGGACTCCGAGACTTTGGCATGATTGCTTTCTGAACTCCAAGGATTTACGCCTGCTGCACTCCTTTTCTTCCCAGTTCAATGCTATTCTCATCTGGAATCTGCTGGCCTCCCAGCACACCACCTCTTGGTCTTATCAGACAATGTGATTTTTAACTTCCGAGCCTCAGATCGCTGTCCTGGATTCCTTTCTCCTTTTTTTTTTGGTCTTGGATTTGTGTTTGGGATACCTGATTTGTCCGTCCCTACTTTTGAGCCTCCGATCGCTGTTCTGAATGTCTACCTCCGCCCGTAGGGCCTGTGATGTCTTAGTCCTCCAATTATGGCGTCATCCCCGTTCTTATGTCCTGACTCACACCCCTCTGTTTGTGTTTGTTTAACACCTTTAGTTCTTGTCCCTCTGCAATGTCTGCATACTATTTTTGAGCTCTATTTTGCTCTGCTCTGTTACTAGTACTTACTACCCTTTGTTTCTTTTCTTTTTGTGCTCCGATAATATCCAATGTTAGCTATCATTAGGGCATCCGTTAAAATTGGGTCGTTACAGAGAAGATTGGCATGGCTCCTGCACAAGGATGACAAACGTAAATTGAGAAATGGTGCAAATTAAAACAAAAAGGAAAAATATCTCATCTGAGCAGTCTCCCCGCAGTTTCCTATTTCTCGTGTTCTATTTGGATACTCCTGATTCTCTCTACTTTTCTAGAGGTACTTAGGATATTCAGCTTGTTTGCGTTCCTGATCATGTTACTGCCGTCTGGCACTTTAGTTGTTGCCACATTTATATGATATGACTCTGATGAGTCTGATCTGACTGTGGTAATTCTCATCAAAAACTTTTAGGGTCATGCACCTCCTATAAGTGAAATACTAGAGACTTACTCTTGGATCGTTGCTAGGTTTCGCCT